ATGTTTAACTTATATCCTAAATGCAAAGTATATTCAAAAGATCTGAGCCAGCAATGCAGAGTAGAAAGGCCTAAAGCTTTTTTATTGATTGGTTTGGATCTGATCAATACTGGCTTATTAAGTTCACTTGGCTTAGCTCCGCAAGCATTACATAATTGGGAGGATGGATTGTTAGTAAGGAAATTAACTACTTTACCATCAAACATGGCTAAATCTAGTTTAAAATTAAATGTGATAGTCGATTCCGGTGTGCCTACTTCTTCTTCTAACTTTACCTTAAACTAGACTAGTCTATTCATTTTTGCTTTTAAAAGTTCGTATTTAATTCTTATCAATTCTTTTGTTTCTTTTTGATATTGGAGATGTAGGGATCTACAGTAATGTTTACAAGAGGTCCAAGCAAGAGACCATTGTAGTCTTTACAAATTCAAGGAAGATAACCATCAACAATAAGATCAAAAGATGAGACAGCTGAACTCAAATTAACCTCCCAAAGTGCAACTAGGTTTGGTGAGCATTATAAAAGGAAAGACTCAACCGGAGAAAAATTACTTCAAAGACCACGAATATGAGTGAATGATAGATTTAGAGAACTTGGTGGAGACGAATTTTTTTTTGGTTAATTAACATGACTCAATGCGCATATAGTACTCAATACACTATCTTATAATCCACGTAAATGCCTTATTGCTAATTGTTACGGCTAAACCCTTAGCCGTAACAAATGGCTCCAATGTGTCCTCTATAATGCACACTAAAAGTACAAAAAAGAACACCATCCGTGTTTAAGATGGTGTATCATACACGGGTCAAAACTAAAAAAATTCTATTTAGCATTGGATGTTATTAAAATAGGGCGAGGTTTAACATACCAAATTTAAACTATCAAAAATTTACTTTAAAAAAATATAAGAAATTAATACAAGATAAGCATAAAACATAGTTAAAACTGTTTCAGATAGTTTGATTTACGGTGTGCTTAAAAAAAGGGAGCTGGTTTACCTTTTCCGAGTTTTGTATATAATAACTTCACCTCATATATTTTATTAGAAGATCACTTTTCAAATGTAATGGTTTAAGAACAACTGCAGGAATAGCTACTGCAGCATGGGTAGACGGAAGACTTGTATTCAAAAATGACAATATAATATTTATTGAATAAGGTAAAATTAGGAAAGGTAGAGGTAAAGTTATAAATAAGTTGCTGATCAATTTGATATTTTCTGCGATATAGAGACTACATATAGTATATTTTAGATCGATAAAAAATTCTCAAAGATTTTATCTGCTATAATTTCAGAGTGTTTTTTTTTTTAAGCTTCTTTAGCTGGTTTGAAATAAAATTAATACTTCCCAACAAGAACTTTAAATTCTTTAAGTCTACTTCAAATTTAGAAAGGTACTGTCTGTCAATTGGCTGAGACTCTACCATTATAAACACTGGGTGGGAAGGAGAAGTAATTCAGATAATGGAGCTAAAGTTAGGGTAAAAGTTAAATTAGATTATTTCTGCTCTGCACAACAATTAGTTACCATTAAAATATCTGATTAAACTGTTAGATGGAGAATCTAGAAGCAGTAAAAAATGGAATGGATCTATTGGAAGCTTACTTGACAAAGCAACTAATCTGGAAGTTAATCCTTTTTTTACCGAACTTGAAATTAATAAGCATCTTATTAACCTGAGTAGTGAAATAATGTAGTGAAAGACCTTTTTACTGATCAGTATTATGGCTCTCCAATAATTAATTCTAAATGCAGTGGTCATGTTCCTCAGCACATAGAACTTTTTAAAGTTGGCTCTGTTAACTTAGCCATATGGCTAACAAAAGCAATAGAGTATGTGGAATTTGGGTTCTCATTATGGTCTTCAAGGCAATGCAGCCCAAAATATATTAAAAATCGAAGGGTATATTTTAAGAATGCGTTTTTCTGTCCGGTTTATAGTCATGCTAAATATTCAGAGAAGAGTCATCATTCTGCTATAAAGCAATCTACATGGTTAATAAAACACATTAGTTTTTTCCGAGTTTATGCTTCAAACTATATTTCGCTCTGAAAACAAGGAAGAAAGAAGTTTCAGAGTAAATAAACCTCTTGAAATAAGGAGAAGGTGATAAGAATGTACAACTAAGAGATCTATATATTAGACCCAGAAAGACACCAGATACCAACTCTAAAGCAATTTTTTTCAAAGATCTTATTGATTGGAATGATGCTTTTAAACTACTATTAACTTGTTGCATAACAACTAGATATATCAAAATATACTTTATTAAACCAATTATAGTACCAAAATAGTGTTGCCACACTTATATATATAAAAGATGTCCAAAAAACGTCACTCGATTTAATAAACTCCTTAACTTGTTAAGTTTCAGAAATATTTTGCACTAAAAAAATATATTGTTATAAAAGTAAAAAATTATTAAACGAAATGGTAGTTCAAATTGAAAAAAAAAACAAGGGAATAAGATAGAAAAAAAACAAGGAAAATCAAAATGTTTTGAATGCGGAAGGAATCGGTTCGTTTTTTGCATCATTATATAACGAAGTAGAAAATATATCTCCAAAAGAATTCAAAGTTTGGCATACAATATTGTCAAAGTAACAGAAAAAAAAGAAAAAAAAACAAGGTTTAACAATATTATTTCATATAAATTTTTTTAAGTTAAGCATTATAAACCTGTTTATACTTTATTTTTAAAATTTTTGCATTAAAGTTAAATGAAAATGAATATGAAGCCTTTTGGTTGTTATAAAAACATGCTTATAATTTGATTTGCACCATTTATATGTATGAGCCTACTTACCCTAATTAATTACTTTTTTATAATTAGGATTTGCACCATTTATATGTATGAGCCTACTTACCCTAATTAAAGGGGTAAGTTGGCCCATAGGTATTTAAATGTGCATAGATAATTTTTAACCTATTTATTTTTTTTACACTTTCATATATTTTTGCTTTTTAGACCAGAAGAAAATGTTCAAAATTGAAATTTTAAAATTGTTTAAATATAAAAATTCTGTAGTACAAAACTCTCTAAATTCTAAAAAAATAAAAAAAACCTAATTATTTAACACCACATGCCTGCTTTCTATATTAAAACATAAATCATAACTAGGATAAATTTAAAAAAACTATTTAATAATAATTATTATTGTTTAAGATAGGTTATCACTTATGACCATTATGCCACATTTGAGTTAGGCCTACCTAGAGTATAAACATCTTTCTTCTTAAATCGCCTAGAAGCAAAAAATGCTATTTAGTATTTTATTGAATGCTGAAGACTTTTTTCTAGATAACACACGTGATGACAGATGTTTTACATGTCAAAATTTCGATAGATTTTTCTATTAAAAAAACGGTTAATAACAAAAGATAAATAAAAAAAAAACAGATATAAAGGAGAGTTGCCTTAATTAGAACAATTTAGGAATAAATATCTTTTAACCAAAGTTAACTTTTCTATGAAAACATTTATGATTTGATTAAAACAAACAGATCTCCCTACTATACTTTTAACCACAAAAAAAAACTCCCAGTAAAATCAACATAAATTTGTAAAAAATGGTTTTCATCTTTACAATGAAAATATAAACAGTTAATTTAAAACTTATTATAGGATTAGTATTACCCTGGCAATTTAAAGTCCAAGAAATATTTTAGCCGCTCCTGTGGTAGACAAACCCCTACAAACTAAAAATTGTATAAAACTTTAACTGTTATGACGTTCTCTTAACTTATTGAATAAAAATCACTAAATAAAGTATTATATTTGAGGCTGTTACTAAGTATTTTTTTAATTGTTTCTGCTTAGGTAAGGAAAACTTCAAAAATACAATCAAGGAAACTTTGAACTATTATCTTATATCACTACAATAACATGCTTGCAGCAACTTAAAAGATAAGTTTGCTTTCTAATAATGCTTTCTAATAAGTTTTTTAAAGTATAAAATTAGTTTGACTACTCATTCTGCTGTATCATTTACAAATTTAAGTGACTTGATATGCTTGAGCACGTGTTTAAAACTTTAGCTTTTCAAATTTTAGTGATTGGGCTAACAAACCATTATCTTTGTTTGAATACCCAAATAAATTTAGCATTTTGCTGACTTTATTTTAACTAAATCAATCAAGTGAGTATTCTATTAACATATTCCAAGTTTCCTTAAAATTAATTTAGTAGTTTTAACTTTGTCACAGTAAGGTAACTTATCAGAATATAGTGAGAGAGCAGATATTTCTTCCGTTAATTACCAAAGATGCCTGTTAAATATTATAAAGGCAGTATTAACAATATCATGGTCAATTTTTTTATTAATAAGTATGCATTTGTAGAATTCCAAGTTATTAAATGATGCATCAGTTGTGTTTGTTTACAAAATCGTGATAATTTTTCGATATCAATTTTTTTACACTCTGCCAATTCAATATAAGCAAACATTTTTAATATGTACAAATTTATATTCATCCAAAAGTATATTCTGTGAAATTGTTTGGCAAACATAGAGGTAGCAAAAAGGTTAATTGAAGGATGAGATGTTTTATTTTATGAAAACAAAGAGATCTTTGTCATGTAGATCTTGCTCCATTTAAAGTTGTGATTTTTATTAGTGATATAAAAAAGTGCAGGCTTATTTCTAAAAAAGAAAAAGCTAATTACTTTAAGTTCTACTTAGTCAGCTGCAAACGCAATTTAAGATCACCTACAAAACTAATTTACACTATCAAGTTAAATCAATATTATTTACTTAGAAGCAAACTCTGACAAATATTGCACACGTTTAAACAAATATATTTTTGCATTTGATTTATTATTTGCATTGAGTTGTAGTTTTTAAAATTGCAAAACAACAAAATAAGTAAAAAAAAAACAACTAAAAAACCGCCGAATAACTTGTTAAAATTATTGTTACATTTTTTCATGTTTTCACTACTGTTAAATTGTAATATGATGCAGTTAAAGATTTTTTTAATGTTTTAAATATACCTTTAACTTGTGGAAGTGCTGTTGGTGGGATTGTTTCATAAAATGAACAACCTAATTTATAAGAGATTTTCTGACCACTAAATCCGTACAAGCATTGACAGTCTCCATAAACATCAACTATATAACTTGCAACATGCCCATTCTGTGTCGGATTTTTTCGCTGATAATCTACACAAAAGCTTACACACAAGCGCCATGAAATGTAACTAATATTAATTGGATTATCATAGCCTATGAGTTGATTAGAATCTCCTTTTGATAGCATACAATTTTTTGATGATGAATCTAAATATTTTTTTATTTTCCATTAAGATGCAACATTTACATGAATTATAATAAAATGTTTAAAACAAATATATATATATATATATATATATATATATATATATATATATATATACATATATATATATATATATATATATATATATATATATATATATATATATATATATATATATATATATATATATATATATACATATATATATATATATATATATATATATATATATATATATATATATATATATATATATATATATATATACATATATATATATATATATATATATATATATATATATATATATATATATATATATATATATATATATATATATATCTGTATATATATATATATATATATATATATATATATATATATATATATATATATATATATATATATATATATATATATATATATATATATATATATATATATATATATTAGGGTGTTCCAAAAAAATGACTTTTTTGAATTTCAACTAACATTGCTTTTCATAAGGTGCCCCAACCTTGATATTACTAATAATTTTTTTTTTCATGATTAGATTACTCCATGACTTCCCTCAATGGGTTCAAAGGTCATTTTTTGCCCGTTTTCTGCCCATATTTCGGACTAATTGAGGGGAGTGTTACCATTATCCAAATTAATTTTTTTTTCTTTTTTTTTGTTATTTTATCTTTTTGAAGAAAATAAAAATTTAATGTTAAGCTTAATTTGTTTTTTTATTTGAACAATGAAGATCAAAAAATTCAAAAACATTGATTTATTTTACTATATTTCACTACCTTTTACTACCTTTGTCCTATGTACCATTTTAATGTGTTTTTTTGTTATATTTTAAATACGCGTATAATTGTTTCATTTTGTGAACAATTATACTTTACCTTGTGTATGCAATTTGATTTTTAACTTATTTTATATTTTTGGTTACCATTTATCTTTTTAGTAACTAATTAACTTAAAAAAAAGTTATTTTATAGTAAAATGCCACCAAAAAAGAAGTTGAAGCTTACTCGAAATAAGGCTGAAGTATTTCTAGTAAAGAAAGTTAGAAAAAAATCTTTCATGTTATAAACTTCCTACTGGCATAGAGGTTTTGCAATACTACCTATATCTAAGAAACTTGAATCCCAAAGTAAAGAAAACGGTTTTAATTAGGTGTCATTTCGAAATTAATTCATTTGAGCTCAGATGCCCTCCACAAGCTGACTGTTGTGTAATGTCTAAATTGGTAAGGCCATAGAATCTTGCAGGGTTCCCTATCATAACCTTGGAAAATATCAGGTAAATTATGAATTCAAAATATATCAACAAATTTATTTTTATCTTTATTTTAAACATTGAATAAATTTTGCATTTTAAAGAAAGAAGATTGATAAAATGGTGAACAACTATTAAAAGTTAAAGAAGAATAGCAAAAGGAACAGCCCAACAGATACGAAAAGGAATGAGGCATTTTTTAAAGAAATTTTAAAATGCTTTTGGATTAGTAAAAAAAAAGAAGAACTAATTGAAGATATTATAAAAAACAGGAGAAGGACATCCGAAGCCAAAAATGAAGATATTGTGTTTATCTTAGACCAAATTGGAAATAGGGTAGGAAGAATAGGAACAAATGATAAAAGGTTTACGTACACTATTAAGAGATCCCACAAAAAATTGTGTTCCATGTTAAACATGGAGATTAAAGTAAACAATGGTAACAATCTATACAGTTTAGAAAACTCTTCAAGTAGTGATACTAATTCTGACTGTGAATATGTAGCAGATATAAAAAAAGAACAATCTGCCTCTGTTGTTTTGTTACCAAAAAATATTTAAAAAAAAACAGCTCTCACAGCAATAGGTGAAAGACTTTCAGTTAGACAACACACTGCAATAGTGGCAAGTGTTATTGCTAATTCAGGAGGTGATGTTACTAATTTGGCAATATCTTCTTCAACCGCATTTAGAGTTGCAGAAGAAGTTGTAACTAAAGAGGGAGAAATAATTAAAAAGCACGTTACTGATCTTGTTAAATCTTCATCATTACCAATTATTCTCCATTTTGATGGAAAAATAGTTAAGGAGTTCACAAGCGGAATAGAACATCAACTTGACAGACTTGCTGTTTTCATCAGGATAGATGGACAGAGTGAGCTTCTTGGGGTTCCTTATTTGAGCTCTAGTACTGGAGAAACACAGAAGAATACAATCATAAAACTTCTTCATCAATTTGATATTTTTGATAAATTACAAGGATGCGTTTTTGATACAACTTCTGTAAATACTGGTAATAAAAAGGGTGTGTGCATTAGATTAGCTGCAGAGCTTGATAGACCACTACTTCTCCTAGCATGTAGGCATAACATCTATGAAAGGCATATTATTCACTGCTGAAACATTTATCCAAGAAGTAAAATAAATGGTCCAGATAATCCATTGTTTAAGAAGCTTAAAGATGTATGGAACTCAATTGATCAAAATTCCATTGTGTTAGACAAAGTAAAAATTGAAGATATTTCTGATAGCTGGCTGCAGGTACAGTTCAAAGAAGCCTTTTCTTTTTCTCAAAATATTATCAGAATGAAAACAATGAAAAAGGTATTTAAAATTTTGAATAAAGTGAATACTCTATAATAAAATAAGTTTAGTAAGGTACTGTTTTGTGTCTAAATAAATAATCTTATTTAGGATGGATGTAGGTCTGATTATCTAGAGTTAGTGGAATTGACAACAATGGTTTTATCTGGTGATGAACAGTACAGGCTAAGAAAACCTGGGCCTGTACACCATGCCAGATTTATGGCAAAGGGAATATACTTTCTGAAAATGTATCTCCTTCTAAACAACATTTCTAGCTTGACAGATTTTGAAAAGAAAGAAATAAATGATATGGCATTCTTCACAGCTGTATTTTACACTGAGTGGTTTATAAAGGCTGAAATTCCGGCTGTCGCTCCATATCAGGTGACATTTCTATGTTTTAAAAGTTTTTAATCATTTTGCTTTTTATTACTTTTTTTTCTTTGAAAATTTTGTGTAATATTTCATAGTCTAAAAATCTTTAGGATATGAAAGCTCTTTGGCAGATGATGAGATACTTAAAAATCAATCCTGTCCAGGCAAAACCTGTTATAGAGTCTCTAAAGAGACACACCTGGTACATAGACCCATATATTTTAGTTATGTCTCTTGTTGACAAAAATGTACAAGAACGGAGTGACATTGCCAAGAAGTTGTACTCAACCCTAAGACCTACAACTTATGCCATAGAAAGACATCAAGTTAATTTAAATATACTGAACTCCCTTATGTTTAATGATGATACTCCCCCAAGTTTGACCCCGCTTATAACTGACCAGAGTTGGTTAATTTTTCATATTTTAAACCATGCAAATGCTGAAGTACAGTGGCTTAAGACTCCATCTGAGACATGGGATCTAAATGACTATTACTTAGAATTCAAACAATTTGTGAATAATCTTGAAGTAGTAAATGACTGTAGTAAGAGGGCTTAAAAAATAGTTCAGGTAACTATTTTATATGTTTGGTCCTTAATGTTTATGTTAAAATCTTAGTTTATTTTACAAGCTCATTACTTTTAAATATTCTTTAATAGGAGTTGATCAATAAATCGCATAATGAGGATAAAAGACAAAGTACCTTCCTCGTATCAAACAAATATAAGAGTGAAAGAACAATTAAAAAAAAAGGTGATTATGTAAAGAATTCTTTGTTTACAAAATAAATTTATAAACATGAACTATGTTTGACAACTAATTTCTTCAGAAACTAATCATAAATATGATTTTATTATGTAAATATAAATATTTTAATACGTAAAGTATCTTGTTAATAAGCAGAACACTAATATAGTGCAAAAAAGCTTAAAAATGTCTTTTTTTTAATTTTTTGGTCTTCATTGTTTAAGTAAAAAAAAAAAAATTAAGCTTAACATTATATTTTTATTTCCTTCAAAAATATAAAACATCAAAAAAAAAGAAAGAAAAATTAATTTGGATAATGGTAACACTCCCCTCAGCTAGTCCGAAATATGGGCAAAAAACGGGCAAAAAATGACCTTTGGGCTCATTGAGGGAAGTCATGGAGTGATCTAATCATGAAAAAAAAAATTTATTTGTAATATCAAGGTTGGGGCACCTTATGAAAAGCAATGTTAGTTGAAATTCAAAAAAGTCATTTTTTTGGAACACTCTAATATATATATATATATGTTCTTACAATATTATAATACATTTAGTAGTATGCTTTATATTAGATATTAAAATATTAGATAATAATATTAGAAATTATAAAACATTAGATAATAATATATAAATTAAAAATATAATAAATAAATTAATATATAATATTACAAATAAATTAATATATAATATTATAAATAAATTAATATATAATATTATAAATAAACTAATATATAACACTATAAATTAATTAATATATAATTAAAATATTAGATAATAATATTAGAAATTAAAATAACTTTATTATCTATGTTTAAATAATTATAAAATATTTACCATCATCATATAAATTAAATAAAAAAATATTTGAAAGATTAAATTATTTTTATGAAGTAAAGTAAATTATTTAAAATGTATAGATTTTAAATTATTTTGTTTAAATATTTTATAATTTTTATAAAAGTTTGATATATGTTATAAGAAAATAAAAAAACATTCAAAACGTAATTCAATATGTACCTTAGGGTTGTTCTGTACAATATTTACCTAAATAATATTTCTATATTTTATACTTTTTTATTATTTTTATGTTTTATATTATTTTACTTAGAACAACCAAAATTGTTTTTCCAAATGTCTATCATTATTTGGTCTAAAAATAATTTTTACAGGATTTTGATAAGTAAACGTGAGGTTCTGAATGTGCAACTCATTTTTTGAGTATAACTTCAAAAATTTCATGTTTTTAAAACTATAATAGGCAAAGAAACATTAATCAAAAAAGGTTGTTTTCAGTTGCCTCCATTTTTATTTCTCAAGTTTTGACATTGTTTAATGAAAAAAATTAATAAAATTTTGACATTGTTTATATTAGAAAAATGTTGACTCAAAGTAGTAAAAAATGTGTACGGTCACCATCACAACTAAGTACTGAAGACGAAATGATTGATGAAGCAAAAGAAAGTCTTCTTCTTTAGTATAAGACTAGAAGAAATACTAGTAGTACCCTTAGAAGTAGTTATAAAACCTCTTGCTCGCATAAAGCAACACCAGGTTGACTTGTGACAAGAAAATTAACAGATTTCTGGTTATTTGGTCATTTTTTAACGTCAATTAATCAAACTACCTAGTTGTAGGCAAAATATCCAGTTTGTCTTATTTTGACGGTATGATCCACAAAATTTCAAAACTAAGGTGAAGAACCAGGATATTGCTTATGCTGCAGTTTATGCTGTCGTTTTTTTTGAAATACAGCACATATAAAAACTAAAGCTGAACAGAATTTCATGATTGATATCATGAAAATTTGAAATAAATGGCAGAATTTGATGAACAATAAAGGAAGGTCAGCTAATAAGAGCTGCTGGAGGTAATCTTGAGGATTTTGACATTTTAAGATCTACAAATGGTGAAAAAAAAAGGTTCAATGGTCAACAGATTGCAGAAAGTGTCATGGAAACAATTAAAGTTAACCCTCGCCCATATGGTGCATTGCTGTGGGATGGCAAGCTTTTAATAGATATGCTGTTAGGCATATACAAGCGGCTTGCAATTCTTATATCTAAAACTCTAAAATACAATGAAAAGATATTTTTATGTCTCTTCTCTAGCTAACTCACAAGAAGCAGCTCAGGCATAAAAACGCTTAACTTGGTAGAATTTTAGGATCTGTTAGACAGAGTTGTAGCTTTAGCATTTTTTTTTTAGTTTATATATATTTGCTGTTTTTATAATAAGAAAATATAATTACAAAGAAACATTTACATACAAAAAAAAGTTGATTTATAAAAACAGGCAGGGGCTCAAAAAAGTCACCACAATCTTTTTATAGAGCCCCTAATTTGAAGCAACAGCCAACAATATTGATATACACAAAGGAGTTGCTAAGCTAATTGAAGCACATCTAGGTAGAAAATTAATTTACCTACCTTGTCAAAATCCAATTTTTGAATTTGTGGTTGGTGCTGTAAAGAAAATGTTATTTAATAACATTTTAGGCCTGATACATAGCCCTCGGTTTCAGAAAATGGCGCCTTGTGATTGACTTTCATTCAAGATTAGATCAGCAGATTTACGATAGTCATCAATTGGATAAGTTGTTAAATTATTAAAAGATAAGGTATCTGTAAGTTCTTTAACAACTTTATGTTTTATACTCAGCAACAATTTGTTTTCAATACTTGAACTGATTGTTTTTTATTCAACCTTGATCATGCATCATTATTTTTTCAAAAGGTTTGTATTCAGGGCACTTAGGATGGCCAAAAATATATATGCTTGAAAGATGTTTTTTAATCAGATGTAATATGATGATGATATGGTTGCATAATATAATAATCAATATATTTTTAGCTCATTTCATGTTCCTTCTTGGATAAAACCATAATTTTGAAAAGTCTGATTGGGCCTAAACATTATTTGTTGTTCTACATTTTGAAAGTGAGCATTTAACTTTCAAACCAGTTGAGAAATAAGACTCGGATCATGATTTTAGAGTTGCAGTAAATGTTGTTAACAATGCACCAAAGTATCTTGTCAAGTTTATCTTGGATTTTGCTACAATCTAAACAAACGGATAATGAGCAAATGGTATAGTTGTCACAGGGTGTTAGGCTGCATAGAAAGTCATAAGCCAGTTTTGATAAGAAGACACTGAATCTGTAAATATAATTTAAGTTTTAGGGTGTATAGTGCGTTGATTATTGAATTTTGAACTAAAGTCTTTTATGAAAAAAGTCATTTTTGTTACATTTAGTCACAAACTTGACTTAAATAATATTATTTTTAGTAAAATAAATCATTAAATGCTACATTATTGTAGGTTTTCGTATATTTAATTTTATGTTAAATTTATGACTTTAGGCAAAGTCTGTTGTTATATGTATAAAATTATAACACTTTTTTCTGTTGTTATATGTATAAAGTTGTAACAAGCAGGGTACCCCAGGGCTAGGTTCACTTCTTTTTATCTAATATACAAACTATCTGCCGGACTATATTATTCATCACATAAAGATTTATGTCCACAATTTCAAAATACTTGCAGGTATAATATCTGAGGAGGACAAAAGAACCTTGGAAATGGCATAGATAACCTAGTAGACTGGTCGCATAAATGAAATTTACCTCTCAACTTCAATAAGTGAAAAAGTTACACACGTTGAGCGTGGTAACTCTAAATCTATTCAAAATTATTCGATGCTTGACTTGAGTGAAAAGAGAACTCAACTGGACGTCACTAAACACAAACACAATTTTGGAGTACTTTTATCAGACGATCTTGAAGTAAGCTATTAAGTTAAATCAGCAGCTGCAAAAGCCAACAGTAAACTTGGTTGACTAAAAAAAATATTTACAAGCCGTGGACTCTTTTTGCGGAAAGTATTCTACAAAACTTAATAAGATCTCAGTTAGAATATGATATTCACGCTTGGTCACCACATAAGGAAACAGACATTGCTATTATAAAGCAAATAAAGAATAAAGCCACTAAAGTAATCACGGAAATAAAGCACTTGTCATATGAAGAAAGACTCTATCATCTTGGCTTAACTTCACTTAAAGAAAGGAGTGTTCGAGGTGAACTGATTCAACAGTTTGTATTTTCAAAAGGTATGATCAAACCATTTTTGAGAACCCTTAAGTCTACGCACCATTTATTTTTAAACACAATTTGGTTGGATATTTTCTTCGACTTGAACGTCAAAGAGTAAAAAACTGCAAAGAATGATTCAATTTCTTCACTAATCGCATCGCCAATGTATGGAATACGCTACCTTTAGACACCATAAGTACTGAATCAGTCAACTCATTCAAAGAGAGTGTTTTCAAAATTAGATTCACTATAG